CATAACCACATGCTGAGCCTTGTGAGTCTTTCTAGCAAACCACTGAAATTGGGGATGGTCTTGGGGACCCCTGACAAGCCCATAAATTATTTCACCTAATCTGCACAACTTCCTTATGGGAGGAAGATATATATCCTTACTTTATAGATTAGAAAATGGAGGATCACAGAAATTAAGTAACCTGGAAAAGCACAACCAATGATAAGGTCAGGCTCTGAACACAAACTTTTTGCTTCCAAGTTTACTGCTTGTAAGCTCCCTGGAGGGAGGGAAGAAGAAACTCAAATATTGAAGATTCACAATAAATAGTAGCTTTCAAGTTGAATGATCTTATAGTAGGTTTCAAGTTAATAAAACCTGAGCTTTGGCTTTTCTAATTTTTAAAATTAAAAAGATGGCATTATAGAGTATGGTAGCGTGGTGGGGCAGGAGAATAAGTACACGTTATTAAAGAATAGTAAATTCTACACAGATTATTATTGTAAACCACTTTTCTGTTTTTTTTTTTTCTCTCTCTCTTTTTCTAACATAGGGTCTTGCTCTGTCACCCAGGCTGGAGTGAAGTGGTATAATCATAGTTTACTACAGCCTCCAACTCCTGGCTCAAGTGATTCTCCTGTCTCAGCCTCCTAAGTAGCTGGCACTACAGTCACACAACCTACACTTGGCTAATTTTGAAATTTGTTTTGTAGTGATGGGGTCTTGCTTTGTTTTCCAGGCTAGTCTCAAACTTCTGGCCTCAAACTATCCTTCTCCCTCAGCCTCCCAAAGTGCTGGGATTGCAGGTGTAAGCCACTGTGCCTGGCTTATTTTCTCTTTCAATAGTTCCTTAAGGTCCTTAGGTCATACTGTGGTATTAGACAGTCTCAATTTGAAGATCCTGATGCAGAAAACCTTGAATACCTTTTAGTAAAATCTTTAAAGCAGAGTCGCAGTTTATTATGATGTCTGAAGAGCTTTGGGTCACTAGGTATTTCAGACAGAAAAACCTGGGCAACTTCCAAAGGCCCCTGCAAAATAAGAAAATAAAACAAGAAGTGTTTTTTTGTTTGTTGGTTTGTTTGTTATCTCTAAAATCACAGAGACAGAATTTATTCAAATGATTTTTCTTAGCACTGAGATGGCTGCATTTAAGCTTAATGCATATATGCCTATGCCTAAATTAAAACTCGACAGAGACAGTTTCAGCATTTTCTAATTTCATTCTACATTCCTGTCTATTGCAATTAACTTCTTATTAGTTTATTATTCAAAGAAACAGAATAGGATCTCAAGGAGTGACTACCATGTTCATTAATGTATTTTGCTTTGTATTTTCCACATTCTTTATTGTATCCTGGATGTAAAAAGTTGTCAAGCTACTATATCTGCCAATCTGCTGATTATCAGAGTTGACTCTGCTAAAACAGCTTCCTTCAGTATTCCAAAGGTGTTCCAGATACCATGTTAAAGAAGATAATCTTGGCTGGGTATGGTGGCTCATGCCTGTAATCCTACCACTTTGGGAGGCCAAGGCGGGTGGATCACGAGGTCAGGAGATTAAGACCATCCTGGCTAACATGGTGAAACACCGTCTCTACTACAAGTACAAAAATTAGCTGAGTGTGATGGTACATGCCTGTAGTCCCAGCCACTGAGGCAGGAGAATTGCTTGAACCCAAGAGGCGGAAGTTGCAGTGAGCTGAGATCGTGCCACTGCACTCTAGCCTGGACGACAGAGTAAGACTCTGTCTCAAATCAAAAAAAAAAAAAGAAGAAAAAGATAATTGTTCATAAGCTACATCATTTGGAAATAAAACCTTAAAATCATGTTTCTAGGTGAAGGTCTTAAGGTATTTATTTCAGTTTTGGTGGGGCATTTTTTAGCTTTGTTCCTTTAATCTGAAAAGTAGTTAAGACATGGTACAGGAAATCTTACTTGAAGCCTTTCTGCATTTTCCCTTATCATGGAATATTCCTAAGACTGGGGCCATACCTAAAATCATTAAGAGAATCTGAATGAACCAAGCACAAGAACTAATGGGAATGCCTTCTAATCTGCATATGACAAAAGAACAATAATTTCTTACGTCAGTTATTATTCACATTTAGAAAATGACTCCATGTCACTCATTTAATCCTCACAATTTATTGTAAAGGAGATCTGGGGAAGATAACATCAGGGAGAATCTAACATAGTAGAGGTTCACATATATGTACAAAGCTCTGAAAATGAGTCCTTGTTTTAAAGATCACATTCTTTTGATACAAGTTTTTTAAGGAACTATATTTTAAGTGAATCAATTCCTTCTTAATAGAATATATAAGATCACATAAGTAGAAAAACATAGGCAGTAGAGAAGGCAGATCCTTTACATTTGACTTAACACTTATTTGTGGTATCTGTAAAATGCAATAATAAAATTATCCCAAACCATATTTATGGCTTAAATCATCCAGCGCTAGCAAAAAGCACTAACCTGATTAACTGTTGTGCCTACAGATCCCTGGAGTACCATCTGAAGCATTTTGGGGTCTGCGGGATCTTGATGTGTTGCAAATGCCAACTCCTGTGTCTTTTTCTGCATGTCCTCAATAGCAACTTCAATTGGTGTTAAGATGATCTGGGTAAAAGAGCATCTATTAGGTGAGTGTTCTGACTGAAAACTATTTAATGAACTTTATGTATAATTAACTGAAATTAGAGGAAAAACAGGAGAACAACTGTAAACTTTATGAAACAATAAAATTCCAAACTTGGATCCCTAAATGAAAAAAAAAAAAAATCAACCTTTTAAAGAACAAACTGGAGGTGAATTAGGGTCTTAGAAAAGAAGTAAAAAATTAAGGACTCAAAAACGGGTAAAATACTAGTATGTTATGGTGTAAGGAATGGTACATATCTTCTACTACATCCAAGTTGTTACATGGCTTGAATATATTTGCTTCCCTAATTCTGTTTCCCTATTTATGGACTCACCTCTTCTTTGTGAGTGACATTGACCCTTGTTTTAATATAAGGAAAGGCATGAGATGTAGTCAGAATGGTCTTCCTTTTGAATTGTTCATGAAGTTCCCCATGGGCACGGCCATCTAAAGTAAAGGGTGTACAGTACATGAAGCGGCGAAGATTATAATTTTTGTCGAAGTAAGTGATTCTGTCCTTCATCTCATATGTGTCAAAGTATGGCTCCACATAGGTAATCTGAATATATGCCTAGGAAAGAAAAAAGTCCTTCATTTCCTCACTGTTAAGTCATTATTTAGTCTTACTCAAACAAAACTGCATAGAGGATCTCCAAGAGATGTCTATATGTCATTATAGTCGAATCAACCATACCTTGTTAGGATCTAATTTACACTTGTCTACAGGATTAGAGTCTTTGATTACTTCAACCACATCCTCTCCAAATCTTTCTCCATAAAATCCCTACAATAAAGAAAAAGAAACCTTTTATATGAAGTTAACAAGACTGGGAAATAGAGAAGGCCTCTGAGGGTGACTCCTGAGCAAAATCAAGAGAATTAGTGAGTTCTCTACAATCTTATCAATAATTAAAAAATAATGATTTAGGCTTATAAAAATTATACTAGCTTATGAAGTTGTACAGTCTCAGTCCATATTTATTTAACACTATTACCATCCACAAACTTTAAATAACACAAAACCTCAGAAAATTTTCTCCAATAAAAAATACAGGATTCCACCTGAAGTACTCAAGAGAAACAAAAGAGAAAAGAAAGCATAGACAAAAGAAACTCATTATTGTTTACGTATAAAATCTTAGTTTTACTGAGTTTGTTGTCGCTTGATTTCTTTTTTTTTTCTTCAGATCTCTCAGGCCAAGTGGCTTGATTTTTTACAGACCACAGGTCAATGAATAAACATTCATTTTTATGAATGATTATTTTAATCCCAGAATTTTCAAATAAAACCACTGATCTGTGAAAGTTTAGTATAGGCTTACATTTTGAAAAGGCAAACTTAGGTCAAGAATGTAATGACTATTCCATATGACACTTAAGTGGCAGCATGGGCGATGGATGAAGCTATTCAAAAGGAAAAATCAAATTTGAATCTTCAAAGGAGAAACCCCCACTGCTATCCCAAGGGTAATTTTTATAATTGAGTAAGTTTGATAAATACAGTCTCAATTAATATTTCCCAACACTTACACCTAGTCTCTTGAAAAATAAAAAAGTCACAGTTTGAGCCAATTTATGTAAGTTGGGCCAGAGAAGTCACCAATAGGAATAAAACGTTCAAGAAATTAATATCGGTAAGAATAAAAACAACCCTAAGAGCACTATTTCTCAAACTGCTATGTGAACACAAATCACCTGGGGATCTTGTTTAAATGCAGACTCTGATTCAGAAGGGCAGGGGTGGGGTCTGAGGTTCTGCATTTCAAACAATCTCCCTGGTGATGCCAATGCTTCTGGTCCATGCACCACACTTTGAGTAACAAAAATAGAGGAAGTTTGGAAAGAATAACTATAACAGAAAAATCTGGTTAGCCCAGTAAATAAGAAACTCAATCTTTTATGGTGAAAATTAAGAAGTTATAAAGGTTAAAGGAAGTGTTTTTAAGGTGTGATTTCAGGCTTTTAAGTTCTAAAGATACTTCACCAGGAACCAGTTAAGCCAAAGAGATAATATGCTTGAGTCAGAAATTTCTTGGGGTTCTGGTTCTAGGTCAATTATTAGCTACTACTTCTTTAACTTTTTCAACAAAATGGGGATTATACTACATATTTTTCCATACGTCACAGTAATTCTGAAGGATACAGGGGTTTCTAAAATACGTGTGAAAACAGTCTCAAAAAAAATTACTATTTTATTGTTGCCATAAAATATTTGAAAGAGAATTATTGTAACTATTAAAAATCCTTATTCTCTAATGGAGTAGTTTATTTCACAAGATCTGGCTTATTAAATGATTATATCTGGATCTGAAAGTCGAATCATCAGAGAGAATACAAATTAAAGATGACATTTTATGAACCACCACAGCATTCACCTCCAATCTGTGAGATATCTCTGCAAGTTTGGTTATTGCAGGCTCCTTGTAAACAAATTCTTGTTCATCCAAATCCCCGAACTTGGTTCCATAAAAACCAACACGAAAATAGGTGCCAAACATCCGCTTACCATCCTAGGTTTAGGAAAATGAAGAAACTTTAATATGAAATATTTCTGCTTTTCACATTATGTTTAGATTGTTAGAGCATGAAATTTCCAAAACATTGCAAAAAGTTTACATTCAAAATTATAATATTTTAAATGAAGGTTTAAACAAAGTAAACATTCTTTCTTTTTTCATTATTTCTAACAAATAACTGCAAATTGGGCTACTAACAAGTGACTAAATCACATATAATATTTTTCAGAGTTTGTACCAAGTGACTTTATCACATTGGTCTATGTTTTTAAAATCTATATAATTGATTTTTCTTATTGCAAGAAAAGATGCTTGATATAAACTGTCTTAATTGTACTGATACTAGAGTATACTAGATCAAGTTAAATTTTAAAACAATGTTTACATATTTATAAATTAGCATTAGCCTTTATATAACCTCTTTACAAATATTAAATGAGATTGTAAAAGTCAGGAGTCAAAAATAGCACCTGGCATAGAGCAATCAGTAAATGTCAAGACCCCCCAGAGGCACTAGAGCAAAAATTCTACAGTTAGCAGCTCTGTGTCAGTAAATTTTTTTTTTCAGATGGAGTCCCACTCTTTTCACTCAGGCTGGAGTGCAATGGCACAATCTCGGCTCACTGCCACCTCTGCCTCCTAAATTCAAGTGATTCTCCTGCCTCCTGAGTAGCTGGGATTACAGGCATAAGCCACCATGCTTGGCTAATTTTTGTATTTTCAGTAGAGATGGGTTTTCACCATGTTGGCCAGGCAGGTCTCAAGCTCCCAGCCTCAGGTGATCCATCCACCTCAGCCTCCCAAAGTGCTGGGAGTATAGGCATGAGCCACCACACTCAGCCCAGTAAAAGAGCTTTATGTAGAAGAGTTACTAAAAATGGAACAGAAAGGGGGAAAAAAATCTGTGAAAGAAAATAAGTAAAACAATTTTGAGATGAGTTGGTAATTCTAAAGCACCCCAACCTCCCAGTGGCATGCATTAAATACATGAACATTAAGGTCACCTTAACTCTCACAAAGCATATCAGAAAACAAATTATTTTAATAAAGATAAATATATGGATACTTTCTATGCAACTTTTTTTTTCCCCCTTAAAGATGGGGTTTCTCCATGATGGCCAGGCTGGTCTTGAACTCCTGACCTCAGGTAATCCACCCACCTTGGCCTCCCAAAGTGCTAGGATTACAGGCGTGAACCATAGCACCCGGGCTCTATGCAACTTCTATAATATTTTTTTGAAGTGTCACCTCATCCTCCTACGTAGCTGGGATTACAGGTGTGTCCCACCTTGCTCAGCTAATTTTTATAATTTATTTTAGGATTCTCTGGAGGTGACTATTACACATCACAAGTGTATTTAAAGACCTCTGAATTCTCTTTAAGCCTAATCTTGTTTATATTTATTTCTCCTATACTGAAAAAGAAAGGGCATATAAACCAAGCTAGAAATGTCACACATAACTAAGCAAAATGGGAAGCCCTATGGGAAGCTCTAATCCTTAATTTACCAGTTTTAACACCACCAAAAAAAAAAAAAAAGGTATAGTGAAAAGGCTGGGCATACTGGTTCCTGCCTGTAATTCCAGCACTTTGGGAGGCCAAGGCAGGTGTATCATGAGGTCAGGAGATGGAGAACATACTGGCTAACATGGTGAAACCCATCTCTACTAAAAATGCAAAAATTAGCCTGGCATGGTGGCACACACCTGTAATCCCAGCTACTCGGGAGGCTGAGGCAGGAGAATCACTCGAACCCAGGAGGCAGAGGTTGCAGTGAGCTGAGATGGTGCCACTGCACTCCAGCCTGGGTGACAGAGTGAGACTTAAAAAAAAGTATAGTGACTAAAAATATCTCTATATTTTTGTCCAAAAACATGTAAAGTTTTCAAGAAAAATGTCTTTGGAGCTAAAGAAAGTTGAGGTTTCTAATTTAAAAACATTTTTTCAGTTACTTTATTTCAAACTTTAACACACATAAAAATTAACTGATTTCTACAGCAAATTAATCTGTCTAGATAGAGTAAATGATTTCATACTGATTAAAACCATAAGTAAGCCAATTGAACAATATAATAATAGTAAATTTTGACTTAAGTAATAACGGTACTGCATGAAAAATAAAAAAGGAATCTAAGAAAATTACTTGAAAATTTGTGGTTGTTTTTTAAAACATGTCATACACATATATACATATACATTCCTATTTTTTATTTGTTATTTTTATTTTTTAGTTTTTTTGAGACAGGGTCTCACTCCATTACCCAGACTGGAATGCAGTGGTGTGACCACAGCTCACTGCAGCCTCCATCTCCTAGGTTCAAGCGATCCTTCCACCTCAGCCTCCTGAGTACCTGGGACTCCAGATGCATGCCACCACATCCAGATCATTTTTTGACTTTTTGTAAAGCCAGGGTTTTTGCCACATTGCCTAGGCTGGTCTTGAACTCCTGAGCTCAAGTGATCTATCTGCTTCAGCCTCCCAAAGTGCTGGAATTACGGGTATGAGCCACCATGCTGGGCCCATTCCTACTTTTTAAAACCACAAATATTAATATGCTGCTATTCTGGCTGTCCTCCTCTTAGAGGTTTCCAGTTTAAAACAATATTCCAATTCTTCAATACTGTGGCCCTTCAAATATTTGAAGATAACAATTAGAACTTGTTTCCTTTAGCTAAACTTTCTAGTTCTCAATTAATCTTCCTATGACAGTAATTTCTACTCTTTGGCATTTTATTAGCTTTTCAATGCCATCCTTTAAAGTGTGATATGCCAGATATAAACATAATACTGTTGATGTGATCTGACCAATGAAAGCGTGTTGGTGGGTGGGCTCAATGTCTCCTTGAATCTGAACATTAAATTTTATTAAGGTAGCTTAAAACTAAACTACCTCTTTTTATTATACTTTCTCATAATGACATTCAGTTCAAGGAAAAAAATTAGTGGGTGTTTACTACATTAGCCACTGTTCATCTTCAATAATAGAAAAGTAAAAATAAGTAAGACTTGCTTCCCAAGAGAGTAAAAAGTGTATTCAAATAGTTACAAGACACTATGTGTCAGCAAAGGGATACATGCTATACCAAAAAGAAGTCTAAGAAAGGAAAGATTAATCTTGTTGGAACTAAGTCACAACAGAGGTAACACAGAGGGTTCTACTCAAAATAAATGGCCAAGTGGACAGGAAAGGAAGGAACACTGCAATAGAGGGTGTGGGGAAGGCAGCTACAATATGAGAAAAAGTATTCATCCATTCAAATACTTATTGAGTGCCGACTATGTGTCAGCAAACTGTTCTAGATATTTATGATAAATCTGTGAACAAAAGGGACAAAGAAGGTGGTCAGGGTAGGTTTCATCTGAGCAAAGACTTCATGAAGGAGATAGCAGACTTATTCATGTGGATCCCTGAGGGATGTACATCCCAGGCAGAGGAAAGAGCCAGTGCAAAGATCCAAAGGCTAAAGTACCTAATGTGTTTGAGGAACAGGAAGGTAAGCAGTGTGGCTAGAGCAGAGTAAGCAAGGGGGTGGAACAGGAGGAGATAAGGTTAGATAAGTAACTACAAGGAGTAACTGGATATTTAAAAACAAATGTTTGTGTGCAAAATGGAGTGGGAAAGGGAGCAGCAGGTGATGAGGCTAGAAAGAAAGGCTGAGAATTTGATTATTTTCAACTTAGACTCCTCTAGTGTCAAACTACTATGGAAGTATGTTTCATGGAAGCATAGTCCTATTGCTTCGCCTGTAGGAAAAACATCACTTCATCTTTATTTTCTCTCGAGTTTTTGGACCCCAGGATGATACCTGTTTTTCCTCTGCATTAAAACAAAAACAAAACTTTCCTATAAGAGAGCCTGTTTTTCTAGCATTACCTTTCTTTACTGTTATGAATCCTTTCTGAACTTCTCACACTACAGCTTATCCTTCCTTAGCAATTCTAGTTATTGGTTCCACAATCTTCTGGGTGATAAAACTATGTCCAGGACAAAGAAATCCATCTACCATGTTTCCAAATGGTACAAATCTCTATGAAAAGTATATCATAAATCTATTTTAGTTTTGTTGTCTTTATTTAGCACGAACTAGTCGTTTATTTCCACAGTGACATCATTTCTCTAACTTATTTTATCCTCTCCTAGTTGTTTTCCATTACGCTTCCTTTAAGTTAACTGATTTCCATATAGGCATAGCAATATTTCACACAATGGTCATCTCTCTTTTCTTTTACTACATTTATTCCTCTTAAAGAGCATTTACCAGTTCACTTCTAGTCATAGGTCTCAATTTAAAAATGTAAAACCTCTTAGATTTTATTAACCAAATAGTGTTAACATTTATAATAGTAATCATGATAAAATCATAGTAACAACAACAAAGATAACTTCCAACATTTTTGAGTACTTACTATGTGCTAGGCACTGGTTAACCACTTTACATATATTATATCAATTGTTATCACAACTTTATGTGACAGGTTCCATTATTTTCACCCTCATTGTACAGATGAGGAAAAGTACCTTGCTCAAGGTCACACTATTAGTAAGTGGTGGAACAGGAAGTTAAACTCAAATATTTGACACTTGACTCCAAGTTCTTAATTAAGCTTTATGTTCCCCATATTCTACATATGCTGGTATAAATACCAGGTCATTAGTATAACCCCTGAACTATCTTCCACTTCTCTGGTGTCTTCTTGAGAATTCTTACGAATTTCCTCAAGTAATTCTTTTAAGGATTACCTCCCTCCCTATGTTCTGTCTTTTTCTATATTATATCACCATCCTCTACTGCAATTATTTTTGCATGCTTGCATATTCTTCCTTTATACTTCAGCATAAAAACCAGGTTGGTGGCTTATCTACAAAACACATTCTTCTAAGATATATTGTACTGCATTTCTTATCAGAAGGACACTTCTGACCATTATATGGTCTTTTTCAGTCCCGAAAAAAGAAACCACATCTAATATCATCTACATATTAAATATTTGCTGTCCATATTTTTCTTTCTTTTTAAAAGACAGGGTCTTACTCTGTCACCCAGGCCAGAGTGCAGTGGTGTGATCCTAGTTCACTGTAACCTTGAACTCCTGGGCTTAAGTGATCCTTCTGTCTCAGTCTCCCAAGTAGTTAGGACTACAGGTGCACGCCTGGCTTTTTTTGCGGGGAGGGCAGTGGGGTAGAGACAAGGATCTTGCAGTGTTGCCCCAGCTGGTTTCAAGCTTCAGGTCTCAAGAGATCTTCCCGCCTTGGCCTCCAAAAATGTTGGGATTACGGGTATGAGCCACCTCACTGGGCTTTTATATCTTTCTTTTTCTTCTCAAATGTAGCAGAAGGGGCAGAAAAAAACAATCAGTGGTATGGCCTATCTTATCAGGCGCTCAGTTACAGGTCTATACCAGCCATCAGAGAGTCACTAACTACCAGAAAATATCTCCTCTTAGAGATATTAAGATTCTTCCCATTTACTATGTTTTCCTTAACTTTATTCATATCTAACTTCACCTTCCTGAGGTAAAGACTCACGGATGTTCTATACCTACAATGTTCTGAGATCTTTTTTTTTTTTTTTTTGAGATAGGATCTCGTTCTGTCGCCCAGGCTGGAGTATAGTAGTGTGGTCTTGGCTCACTGCAAACTACCTCCTCAGCTTAAGCAATACTCCCACCTCAGCCTCCCAAGTAGCTGGGACCACAGGTACATGCCCTGGCAATTTTTGTTGTTGTTGTTTTGGTAGAGACATGGGTTTTGCCATGTTGCCCATGCTGGTCTTGATCTCCTGGACTCAAACGATTCTCCTACCTTGGTCTCCCAAAGTGCTGGGATTACAGGTGTGGGCCATTGCACCTGATCTGTTTCTCATTCCTTCTTTAGAGTGTCACATTTACCCACTCAACTATCCAACAGTACTTGTTTTCACTATGTTCTACTCTAGAATTTTTATTTCATTTCCTTCTTTCAGAGTTAATTCCCCTGCTCATTATAATTTGCTATTTCTAATTCTGCTCTATCTTTTAATTGCTTGGATGAGTTACTTTATCTCACTCTGCTTTAGTGTGGATTGAAGAAAATAAAAATCCAACAGAAGCCACTGAGCCAGAACTATGGCTAGTATTTCTGAACATGTAAAAACCAAAATACTGGCTCACATTCATGTCTACTTAGTCCAGTAATAAGAGTTAAGATATAGTCATTTTGCACGTGTCAATCTTAAAGTTAAGGTAATCTATACTTCCTTAGGTATCTAGGAGAGATCTTCTCTAGCCTTTCTGGAAAATGTAAGATATACTTTACTAAAGTAGTGGGGTTTTTTTGTTTGTTTTGAGACAGAGTTTCACTCTTGTTGCCCAGGCTGGAGTGCAATGGCATGATCTTGGCTCACCACAACCTCTGCCTCCCAGGTTCAAGTGATTCTCCTACCTCAGCCTCCTGAGTAGCTGAGATTACAGGCATGCGCCACCATGCCTGGCTAATTTTTTGTATTTTTACTAGAGACAGGGTCTCTCCATGTTGGTCAGGTTGGTCTTGAACTTCCAACCTCAGGTGATCTGCCCGCCTCAGCCTCTCAAAGTGCTGGAATTAAAGGCATGAGCCACTGCACCTAGCCGAGTAGCAGTGTTCTTTAAAGAACTATGTTGTGATCTTTGAAGAAAAAAAAGTGTCACATGACTAATCACTATTTGAGGATTGATTTTTCTGGAAAATTTAAACTTGCATTAGTGTACTTCTACATACAAATTGGTCACTATTTGATAAATGAACAAACTTTTCTTTTTTAACCCTAACTCTAAGACACGGTCTCACTCTGTCATCCAGGCTGGAATTGAGTGACACCACCACAGCTCACTGCAGCTGTGAAAGCCTGGGCTCAAGCAATCCTGCTGCCTCGGCCTCGCCAGTAGCTCAGAGTACAAGTACAGATGCACACCACCATACCTGGCTAATTTTTATAATTATCCGTAGAGACGGTCTTGCTATGTTGTGCAGGCTGGTACAAACATAATTATTTTTAAAAAATACATACACATAAAAATAGAAAATGGTTACAAAAATTTTCATATAGAAATCTAACATTTATCTTTCTGCTAAAAATAATTAAATATGCATCATAAAAAAGAAATGCTCAAAGCATGCTTTTAGGCTGAGTGTGGTGGCTCATTCCTGTAATCCTAGCATTTTGGGAGGCTGAGGTGAGTGGATTGCTTAGGCCCAGGAGTTTGAGATCAACCTGAGCAATATGGCACAATTCTATCTCTACAAAAATACCAAAAATTAGCTGGTGGCATATGCATACAGTCCTAGCTACTCCGGAGGCTGAGATGGGACGATCATCTGAACCCAGAAGGTCAAGGCTGCAGTGAGCTATGTTCGTGTCACTGCACTCCAGCCTGAATAACAGAGTGAGATCCCATCTCATCAACAAAAATTTTAAAAGACAACAAACACATTTTTACTTCCTATTGTTTCAAGAAATACAAAAATGCTTTGGGAAAAGTAAAAATAAAAGTGAGCACTAAACAGCCATTAAAGAACTGAAACTAGCAGAGGAGATAACGGCCACATGATTCCTGAAAGGTTCATGATTTATTATTTGGTATGGTAAACACTTTACCAAAATACTAAGTTTCAGAGTTATCTTTTACACACACACACACACACACACACACACACACAAACACATACCACTAAAAAGCTCTGCCAACTCAAATAATTTGCACTAAATCAAGGAGCATAATAAAAAAAATGAAACACATGACTAATATATAAGCCCAGAAGAGGTTTTCCTATAAGTTAGGGAGAAAGTTGTCAATTCTAAGAGCCTTTCTAATATGTACAGATTATCCTTACTGGACCTTCAATCCAGTGAGAGCTCTATCAGAATACTAGAAAATTAGCTAGGAAACATAGCTTTTAGAAAAAACAAAATTACTGAAGTTTTCATAGAGTCAAAAAGAAAAATATACACAAGATAGAACTTACCACAATAGACAATAGTAAAAGTAGGGAGTAGGGTCAGCAACCAGGGACAAGAGAGAAGAGAAAACAGAAAGCATTTTAATTACAGAAATTTCAAAACAAATAAGCAGCAAATGGTAGAAAACACATTTTTTAAAAATGCAGGCATCCATTTAAGTTTTACAAAGGAAAAGCAAAAAACAAACGTGCAACAAATTTAGCAGCTACAAAGCTAAAGGTCCAGTAAAAGGCAGTGACAAGTATATAAACAAGAAAATAAAGTCTGTGAGACTTTTACCATGCAAGAAAACATGATGACAGAATGATATTAATGTCATAACCAGTGAAAATTATACCTTTCAGGGGTCGATTTAGCATCACGGAAACTACTAATAAACTGCTCAGAGGTTTCAATATCTTCTTTTATGCCTAATTTTCAAGTAATTCTATTTCATGTTAGGAACTTTTTAAGAAATTTTATCCTTCACAGATAACCATGGCAAATCTCTTAATGTATGTCTTAACTGAGCCATAGGAATGAGCATTATAATCTGAGTATTAATATGGTCATATACATTTATTCTGGAGAATTAAGGTAGATTTATAAGAGTACTGGCTTCATCTAAACAAAAACAAGACTTGGGTATAATTTTAGAAATGGAAGAAAACTCAGTAGTAACATTTATTCCCAAGGTTTTCTATCTGGGTCTCAAAATAAGGATTGCAATGCAAAACCAAACACAGAAGCCTAAGCTGTTTGATCAACATAAATCTGACTACAAGTGAGAGACAAAGCACACAACTTTACAAATATACCTAGCTTTAAATAAACCTGACTTGTTAATATTACTACTTTGCTTTACCTCATCAAAATAAATTAAGGCATATTTTATAGAATTATTTCCTTTGCAGAAAGGTTTAAAACAATGGTAATCAATTCTTCCTGGCATTTTTTTCAGGTAATATTTTATTTACGTATAACTTTTTGTGAGTCTTATCAAACAATATATCAAATGCTGTCAGAATATGAGGTCAAATTAAATTAATAGTTCTCTTAATTTCTTTATCCCTCTCCCCAACAAAATTTAAATGACAAAAATGAATTTGCTTATATTCAAGGTGAAGTGACTCAAGATCAAATTAATACAGGATCTCGTCAATTCTAAGATGTACTTCTTTGGCCCACATTTTAATATGTTTGTAGTTACCATTCATCTTTCAACTGATAGGACTTCCTGGTTTAATATACAGGGATTTTTTTCCTTTCAAAGGTATATAAAATACTAGTATGCTTTATAATTGATGCCATCTTAGATCAGATGAAATATAGTATTTTCTATTTACACCTCTGAGCAATAAAACATAAATCGACCTCTGTAAAATAAGGTGAAACAATATGGTTAAAAAAAGAAATCTGTGTATAAACGTTGATGAAAGAAATGCTTCAAAGTATAAAAACTAAAGTGATGACAGAGTGGCTCATTTACCAAAGAATCTCATTAGTGTAACATATGGATTTCCATGCACTGCCTACAACCTCTTAATAAGATATTTCTTAAAATAACTTACAGTATTTTAACAAAATTTCTTTGGTTAATGAATTCAGTTGATAGCAGACAGCAACAGAATGCCCACAGCTAGCACATGTGGGCAAAGCATTGGCATAAGAAATCTGATAAAATCAATCTATTAGTGTCTTTAACTAACTAAAACATTACCTACCTCCCAGCCAGTACTCTGTATAATAAAAGTAAAAAGGGCAGGTCATATAAAAAAACTGTTTAAAAAAGAACAAAAAAAAGGCCAAAGGTACCATATACCATAAATTTTTCTCAACAAATAGAAGACAGCAAGATATTTTAAACAGCATATTCATTTACTTAAGATCGGCAATAATTTTATAAACTGCTTGTTCAAAACCTAGTAGCTAAAATTTTGCCTGTTAAAAACTTTAAGTGAAAGTACAAAATTTGGAGAAAGAGAGCCAGCTGCTTATTCCATATGTTTAAATGAGATCTCTAACTAAGGTGAGCTGCACTTCACCAAGTATCCAGGATAAATTAAAATATAAATTGCAACTCTGCTCAAATGCCAATGACACAAATGGATGAAAGTTTCTCAGAAATGACTAGCTCTAAGTATTCCAGACCTAACATTTATAATTTGCAATTTACAGCTTTAGAAACCGGGATGAGTTTCCTGCAATACCATATGTACAACTGATTATTAAAAGACCCACATTTTATGGTCATGAAACCTAATCAATATTTTGCAACTTTTAACATTTTAGTAGATGACGATAAAGTCCTGACATAACAGGATAGCAGCCCTACTTTTAGACTGTCAAAGGCTTTTCAGATTAATCAGTTCATTTAGAACAACTTCATTCATTTCAAGAAAGCGGAGGTCAAGCTGATAGATAACAAAGTAGGACTAATACCGAATACAAAAGTGGACAGTCATAACCCACTTCCTTTGACACTGGCAGCAGTAGGTAACAGCAGGGCAGCATGGGGAAGGGAACAGAAAAGTGGAGGAAAAGGAGACTCAGGATATTTTGCAGTATTTCAGTGAAGCCAAGGATTTAGTTTCAAAGAAATCAACTGCTAATAGTGTACTTCATTTTAAAACCAAGTTTAATTTGATTCTAATTTTAGTGGTAATATGTAGCTTCCATAATGAACTATAAAGATTAAGTAATGAAATACAATTAGAATTAAATATACATTAAGACAACCATTTTATTCATTATTTTCACAAAATTATATTTTTATATTAGAAATATAGCAAAGGATGATTGATTGAATACAAACATCTAGGAAAAATAAAGTTTGGTTGCAGTCATTACAATATTAGTAGTTTATTAAAGTTTCACATCATTTAAAAAGCTTAAATATAAAAACTATTTTCACAGCAAAAGAATAGATTATCAATTTTAAAATCACTCACAATTATGATCTACATTGTGAAACAAAATAAATCACAATTTTTAAAAACTTGCTAATTAGTAATAATTCAAAAATGAAAAAAAAAGCTATGTGGAAAGTTTATGATGATCATCGTTTACTTTAGGTGAATTCATTTTTGTTAATGAGCTTTGCTTTGGCCATGAACTATCATTTTGACCATTCATTTGTAGTCTGATTAAAATGGTCATTTCATGGGATCTAGTTTGACATCAGTACAAAACATTAATGCCTTCAGACAGTTTTTTCCCTTTATAGTGAAGCTAGAAATTGGAATCATTACCTGATGAACAATTTTGCTGAATGCTTCTTGAAGTTTACCATGAATTGTGGACAGTTTCTTTGCATCCCGATTAGCTTCATGAACAGGAATAAGTACTTTGTAAACTTCATTAACGGCTTCATACATGCCAGCCTATAAGAAAAAAAACCTACATATGATGTTGCTTTCTTTACATTAATTAGAAAATAATTACACCATATGAATTCACAATATTTCTATTAAGATAATACCACTGAAGCTTTTCCAACAGGAAATAAAAACAAATACTACTAATTTTTAACTGTATTAAGGCTTAATAAAAGAATTTTGCAACGTCATCTCCTCTAGATAAATGGGTATGTATGTAGGTAAGTGTATGTGTGTGTATATTAATATATATACATACATATATGGGCATATTTATATTCGTATAATTTGAATTGGGCATTTTCCTTCTATCTGCCCAATAATTACTTCACGGAGCTTAAGGGATACATGTACACTTATCTATGCATATAAACTTTTGCAGATATAGAAAAAGAAATTTAATATTATACTGGTCATAGGTACCCAATTCTCCTATAATCAGATAACCCATGGCCTCCTGGGAAACAAAAATCATTTACTTTTCCAAAATCTTAAGTTGATACAGGCAATCTCCTATTGTAAATCTCCTATTAAAAAAATCACCAATCTTTAACAAAATATAGAAAGTTCTAAGCCACCAGATTTTCTTTCACTGTGGGTTAGTTGGCCAGTGGTTGCTATAATTATAATCACAAAATCAGAGTGAGAAATAAGATGTGTTTGTATTAGTCTTCTATTCCTTATCCTTTTTTTAATTATTAGTAAGAGACAGGATCTTGTTCTGTTGTTTAGGTTGGAGTGCAGAGGTGTGATCATAGCTCACTACAGTCTTGAACTCCTGAACTCAAACAATCCTCCCACCCCAGTCTCCTAAGTAGCTAAAACTACAGGTGCTCACCACCATGCCCAGCTAATCTTTTCATCTTTTGTAGAGATGGCAGTCTCGCCACATTGAGCAGTCTGGTTTCAAACTCCTGGCCTCAAGCAATCCTCCTATCTTGCACAGTAATCCTAGGATTACTATGCAATCTCCCAAAGCATTGGGACTACAGTGAGGCACTGGGCTTGGCCCATCCCTTATCCTTAATAATGGATTGGAGCTGTAGTAAGAGAAGAGAGAGAGATTTTCCAAAAGCCATTGAGTCCTCATTGCTTCATGGATCAGCAAACACATTTTCCCAAAGAAAGATACGTGGTCCTTATATTTCCTAGTAAGTTCGTAGGTGTGTAGTAAACAATAATGTAGCTGTAAAAGTGAAATACGTTTAGTGTAACTAAAATGCCCCAGTAATTATTTTAACTAAAATCAGATTAATTAAAAAAGAATACAATTTATAATTATATACAACTGCAAAATAATTTTAATATAGGTTACTGTCCCCCAATCTAAGTGTGCTACTGTGAATTATTAAAATTACACACACAGCCAGTGGGAGGGGGAGGTGGGGAGGGATAGCCTGAGGAGAAATGCCAAATGTGGGTGAAGGGGAGAAAGCAAACAAAACACACTGCCATGTGTGTACCTATGCAACTGTATTGCATGCTCTGCACATGTACCCCAAAACCTAAAATGCAATAAAAAAGAGAAAAAAAGAAAAAACAAATAACAATAAAATAAAATTACACACACAAACACACAGTTATATTAATTAAAATATTCCATCAATGGCAAAAAAAAAAAAAAAAAAACCTTTCCCCCTGCTAGCTTAGACAAGTGTAGGGAAGGAATTGGAATGGTCAAGGTCCTTAAAGGCAAATATTTTAAAAGAGGATTGACACCTAATATTTTAACACTGCAAAAACACTCTTAAGAGTCTCATAATTGCCAATAATGATGAAAATGATGGTAACAGTAAACACACTTGTACTTACTTGGAGCCAGGCACTGTGATAAGCACTCTGCATACATGAACTCACTTAGAATCCTAACAACATTCCTATGAGGTAGGTACTATTACTGGATGTATTTCACAGACAAGAAAACTGAGGCACCAACAGGTTACATAATTTGTGCCTGGAGCAACACAACTACTAAATGGCAGAGTCAGGATTTGAACTTTGGTAGTATGCCTTCTAAAAGTACCCTTAACCAATATATTGCAGGATAGGGATAAGGCTTGGTGAAGAAAGAACCAATTCCCAACAGTAGTACAAATGGGGAAGGAAGGCAGCATTGTGTATTAGCTCAAGCTTCTCTCTTATCCTAACACGAATCTCAGTGTCTCCCAAACCTTAATGCTGAGACACTAAACATTCAGCAGAAACATCAGAGAAAGTAAGGGACCCTACCAACATGGTTCAAGATGGTAAGCATGAATTCAGCTAACTATCTTTTCCTTCTCCAATAAACATCCCATCTGGGTTCCATCTGACTGCTGTAATTCTTCACACAGACAAGGAAGGGAACAAGACTGGGGTTATAGCATGGTAGCAGTCAGGCAAAGAATTCAAGATGCAGTTCATAAAACTAAAGAGTAAGGTGTAGGCCTCCAATAATTACCTAATGAGGATTACTATGCAACCAACAAAATGAGTGGCTTAACTTTCCTGGACATCAGGGCAATGCGCATCAAACTGGAAAGATTCTCCATTTCATCCAACGGACAAGCTCTATTTACAGAGCCCTGTCACTCTACCAACTAGTAACTTCCATCACTCAGACTTTCTGTTTTGTTTTGCTCTGTTTTTTAATTTGTTTTAGAAAATGTTTGGCAGTAAAAGTTTTATGAAACAAAAAATATCTGCTGCAAATTACATGCCTGGTTCATAAAAGCAAATGAAAAACACTGGTGGGGCCAGGCACAGTGGCTCATGCCTATTATAATCCTAACATTTTGGGAGGCTGATTGGGGGAATATAACTTGAGGTCAGGAGTTTGAGACCAGCTTGGGAAACAAACTGAAACCTCATCCCTACAAAATAAAATAAAACAATTAGTCGGGTGTGATGGTGTACCTCTGTGCCCCTGTATTCCCAGCTACTCAGGAGGAGGAGAATCCCTTGAGCCCAGGAGTTTGAGGCTACCGTGAGCCAAAACACTGAAACAATGGGGGAAATGACAGATTATTAAGATGCAAAGGAGTAAGCCAACAATGAATCTAGCAAGAAAATCTATTCCTAGATAGTTTTTAAGGGACTTGGAACAAAAAAAAAAAAAACCTTTTCTTTTTGAGACAGGATTTCACTCTGTTGCCCAGGTCAGAGTGTAGCAGCATGTTCATGGCTCATAGCAGCCTCAACCTCTTGGGCTCAAGCAATCCTCTCACTTCAGTCTCTCAAGTAGCTGGGACCACCGACATGAACTACCATGCCTGGCAAATTTTTTATTTTTTGTAGAGACAGTATCTCACTATGTTGCCCAGGTTGGTCCTGAACTCCTGAATTCAAGCAATCCTCCCGTCTTGGCCTCCCTAAGTGCTGGGATTACAGGCATGAGCCACCATACTGGGTTCAGAATAAATTATCTTTAAAGAAAAGTAGGGTCATAAAACAGAGAGAACAAATATACATGTCATTGATAACTAGAGGTATGAAACGGTATAAAAAGAATTAACAAGAGTCATCTACCATAGAGAAAGAAGCAGCTGCTTGTTCCAGTAATCCCACAAGTCCTGACTCAGTAAAGTATTTTCCAGAGCAGATACCTTCTTCATCTGGAGATACCACATCATCTGAGACTGCAGATTCTTCTAAAACATTAGATGAAATATTCTAGGGAAAAAAATAAATGGTTTTTGAAATGGAATTAATTTTCTAGCATAAAAATGTATAAGAAGAAATATCAGAATATAACTATCAGGTTAGGTTAAAAAAAAGGAGAGTGAGGTAAAAGATAAATCTCCAAAAACTTTCTGTACTTTGATGATGATAATAGAATGATAATGCCATTACTAGGTAACTTTTCTCTTAATAAAAAAGTTGTATGAAACAAAATTAAGAAAAATCATGGGCTAAAGGAAAGAGTAATAGAACATAAGACATCAAAGGAGACATCGATAGTCTTATTTATTTAATTGATCTTCTCAAAACTATAAGAGAAATTAAGGTAAAAAAAATGGTCTCTTGGCTTATCTAATATACACTGAGTTATTGAAAAAACTCAGGTATAATAAAAGCGCTCTTATTTAATGAGACTGGGATCAGCCATTATTTCTAAAGAAGAAATGATACATATATATGTTATTTTAGCCTAAACATTTACAGTAGATGTACACTCATTTATCAACTTTTGAAGTAGATCTAAGGCCTTTTCTTTGTGTGTATGGGTCTCCAGATCAGATTTCCATGGAATCTCTCTTGGTTAAATATCCATAAGGCAACAATCTTTTTAAAGATTTCAAGTTTTTCAGTCATAGGCGGGTGATGAAAAATGAGAACACATGGACACAGGGAGGGGAGTACTAAACACTGGGGTCTATTGGGGGGAAAAGGGGAGGGCCAGTGGGAGGGGGAGGTGGGGAGGGATAGCCAGGGGAGAAATGCCAAATGTGGGTGAAGGGGAGAAAGGAAGCAAAACACACTGCCATGTGTGTACCTATGCAACTGTCTTGCATGTTCTGCACATGTACCCCAAAACCTAAAATGCAATAAAAAATTAAAAAAAAAAAAAAAAGATTTCAAGTTTTTGTTTCTTTTGAGTGAAAGCTTGAACTTAAAAGATTATCAAATTATTCTAAAATTTTAGGAGTTCCCCCTTCCCTAATGTATTTGTCTGGGCCAAAATTAATTCAACAGCAATTATTTTGGATATTCATCTTTCCTGAGTCTTTGTAAAACATTCAATTTTTTTTTCAGAGAAATAATAACTTCCTTTTTGCATTCTGATTCATTAGAAGACACAACATTTAACTAAATTGTATAATATGGTAAACCTACCATTAACAGGTTTTGAAGAAAAGCAAAGCAGAACTGACTCTTGGTAAGCACGTAATTCAACTAGTGGGTCAGAGCTATATACCCTACTAGAAGGAAACTCATCTGTGAGTCATGGTATTAGTCATAAAATATACTAATATTTTATGCTGAGAGTGGAGAATATTGGTATGTTTGCTATGTTAAGTTAAAGCCAATCAAGAATTTCTACTGAATTCTGATTCTCAGTAATACATTTTCATAGATGCTAAAGTAAGTAACTGATTACAAAGCAGTAAAGACAAAGAGAATACATAAGCATAGCACTGATAATTCAGAGGTAAGAAACTGTGGAAAGTTTCTTCCCTCTCAATTATGGAAGATTCCTACCTGAAATGTTACACATCCCACAGGAAGATATTTCCGGTCCTCTAGCATGCTCAAATATTCAGCAACAAGTGCTGCTGAATGGACTAGACACTGTGCAGCTTCAGCATGATTGCTTCGTTCTGAGTGCTTGCCAGCCATGTTCTGCAACCAGGTCAATCGCAGATCTGGAGAGGTCTGGTAACCCTTGGCAATTCTAATTAGAACAGAAATTCTTCTCGGTTAGCATATGCTTCCCAAGCTGGTAGGGAGTTTAGATGGTTCACTCAGAGTTTACCTAGATATGTTTTTAACACTGTGCACAACCTATGTAGTTTTAAAGTAGTATGAAAATGTCATTGTGCAGGCTTAGAGAAATAACTGTGGCCCATGGAATGGATAATATCAGTTGAGGGGGCGGGGAAGGCAAAAAAGAGATATGCCATATTAAAATCTGATCATTAAGGAAATGATCACTTAAGGGAAAAACGTATGAAAAAGTATGTGTTCATTACAGAAATACAGAGAAGCTTTATACTCAAGGGAAATAAGAAAACTTATAAAAAGTACTTTTTATCACATCATCTGTATTTCAAAGATATTAAATTGTTTTGTTTGTGCTTTTAATGAATCCCAAAATTGTAAGAACAGAGGATCATATGACAGATAAAACTTCTTAAGTTTTACTATTGTATCTATTAAGTTTTTAATACAATAGGTATTACAGATTTTTCAAAATGTGCCCCAAGAAATATCACTCTTTGGTCATAACTGTATTGAAAATCAGGTAATCAATGTTATGGTAAAACACTCATATACGGTTTTTTCTTCTTAAAAGACTGAGTTGTGGGCCTTCAAAGGAAGTTTGGGGCCCAGTACACCAAGGTATTAAATGTGTGTTATGAATATTTTAAAATATCCTCTTGTTTTTGATAATCAATAAGTATACTTGCATTGTTCTTAAAAGAAGAGACATAGAAGATCTGAAGATGACACCTGGAAAAAGTATGTTTGTACTTTCAATCTACCATTAGAAAAATCACTGAAGGCTTGGCTCATGCCTGTAATCCCAGAACTTTGGTAGTCCAAGGCAGGCAGATCTCTTGAGCCCAGAAGTTCAAGACCAGCCTGAGCAATATGGTGAAACCCCATCTCTACAAAAAAGTAAAAAATAAAAATAATAAACCAAATAGAGAAAAATCGCAAATCATTCTTGGGTGTTTATTTTTTTTCACCTAATGCTTACTGTATATCTTACTAAGTCCCTTATACAAAGCATAAATGAATCAAACAAATGCTACCTGTACATTAGGTCAATCAACATTTCAGGATCCTCCTGGTGTTCCTTCATTTTCACAGTATCAGAAAGGATCATATGGAGATTGAAAACCAGATCCTGAACCTGCAGCAGATAATTATATAAAAAACATTCTTGAATTGTCGTTCATCCATAATCACAAAATTAGTTTCAGAGATATTTCAGATAAATATCTAAAGATGTCAAAACAAGTCGTATCATACTGATATGGTTCTGTAGAGTATAGGTATGTGGGGATATGGTAAGTGAAGGGTAGTAAACTTTATATAAATTCCTCAGCATACTATGTATATTTTTGTTCTTTCACCTGGAAACAAGCAGAACTATAAGTAGAAGTAAAATAGAAGGATACCAGATATACAAGAATACAAAAGAAAAATTCTCTCCTATATTTCTGATTTTACTAAAAGGTAGTTTGTAGAAACTCTAGTTTTTAAGGTATATTATCATTTGATTAATAAGTAGGAACATTTTGTCATAATGCTTTGTCTGTACGGTCGAAGTCTACTGTTCTACTTGTTATAAATGCACAGAATTAACCACCAAAAACATTAGTTATTTCCAAAAAGAAGTGTAGCTTAATAAAACAAAAAGATTTAGTCCTATCTATGGCACACGATGTGTGGACTGAAAATGAAACAAATGATCCGCTGGCAAAAATCAACTTTTGATTTAACAATTTGGAAAGTGCCTATTTAACAAGCCTACTTCAATTAATGATCTAGTAAGCAGTATTTCTGACCTGATCAGGAAATGTTGTTTCCCTCAATTCCAGATCTTCTTCAGCATACGTCAATATAGTCTTTAGAGAACGTCTTAAGAATTCTTCATTAAAATTCTGAGATGTGCCCACCAAGGAGGATAATGACATTGTTACCTGCATTTTAACCCTGGCAAAGTTCTGCAACAGAGAAATTATCAGGTCAATAGTTAATACAGGAACGCTTTTAAAAGTCTGCTATTTTTCCTTGCTTAAAAAAAAAAAAAAAGTATATTTAGTGAAAAAATACCATTCTAAGCAAAAATATTTTTAAAGTAATAAAATACATATATCAAAATCTTATTTTAGGAAGGATGTAAAAGTTAGAATTTTGTTGTGAATAATGGCTACAAAACAAAATTTTAAGAAGTCATGTGTTAGAGCTGAATTAGAAATTCTGCTTATGTCTTTAAATTGATTTATTATGAGGCATATGTTATTAATAAAACATTTTACAGATGAGGTTAAATAGCTTAATTGACATTATAAAACTCTTAAATGGTAGATACAGTATTTAAACTCTAGTCCATTTCATCATATCCATACTATGATGAAAGTAATTTAACACACATCACCATGCGTAAAGTCATGCAAGGTAGAATCTTTTGGAGTGATGGCTTTAAGAACTCGTAACTTACATTCTTTCTTTTTTAGTGTAAATTCACTTCTGCTCCACCATTCTCTACCATGAAATCACTCTTAAGAGATTATTGGGGATAATATATCAGCTGTCCAATCCAATATTTTTTGGTCAATATTCTTCACATCTTGGTATATCTAAATGCATTACTTTCTCCTTGAAAATCTCCTAATTTGTCTTTAATGGCACAACTTTATCCTGATTTGATTTCCCTGTTCTTTTTTGACTCTTTTTCTGTTTTGTTTTTCCTTGGCTCACTTTTCTAAATACTCGTATTCCCAAATATTCTGTCAAAAACTTTTTCTCACTTAACATACTCTAAAGAGTCTCATCCATGTCTTTGCTTCAACCAGTATATACGCATGTTTCTGTCACCAGCTGTTATGTCTCTGGAGAGCTCCAGACTATTGTATTTTACTAGATAGCACCATCTGTATGTCTCATAGGTACCACAAAGTCAACATGTTTAAAATACCTTCTCTTTCTACTGATTATCTAAAACAGTGAAGATACTATTCTTAGAGTCACGCCAAAAATCTAGGGATCAGCCCCTACTCATTCTCCCCTCTCATTTTTCATACCATAAACTCAAACCACACCATCTCCTAATGTGTTTCACTATATCCTTTCTCCATTCCCAATGCCTTCGCTTTATTTTACACCCTTACAATTTCTTATCTGGATTACTGTAATAACTTCCTAATCAATCTCTATGACTTTTTCTTTCATATCTCTCAGTCTATCTTCTACTTAGCACCAGGAAACATTTTGTAAAATATAAATCTGAACATGTGCCACCTCTCCCTAAAATGCTCCAAAGGAGCTGTCCAAAGTTTTGAGGAGAAAAATTCAAGAATTCAACTCAGTAAATATGTCACACTAGATAGTAGGCACTGAGAGTATAGTAATAAAATAATTTGTATTTGGAAAGGCCTAGCTTAGGCCTTTTCAATTACACCTTTATCCCTTACTCTTTCTTCCAGCCATAGCCATCAAGAAGTACTTAAAAAAAAAAAAAGCGTGGGCATGGTGGCTCATATCTGTAATCCCAACAGTTTGGGAGGTCAAGACAGGAGGTTCGCTTGAGGCCCAGAGTTTGAGACTGGCATGTCTACAATTTTTTTTTTTTTTTTAAATTAGCTTGGTGTAGTTGCACTTGCTTGTAGTCCCAGCTACTTGGGAGGCTGAAGTGGAAGGATCTTTTGTGCCAAGGAGTTCAAAGCTGTGCCACTGCACTCCAGTCTGGGCAAAAGAGTAAGACCTAATCTCCCAAAATTTAAAAAAGGTGCTAAAAAATTGCCTCTGTATTTGCCCATTTCCTTCTCTTTTTCCATGCCTTTCCAATTTTGCATGTGTCATTGTCTTTACTTAAAAAGCTCTACCCACTTAGCCAACTGATTGGGTAATTCTTCACCCTTACTTCAAACATCTCTTCTTTCTGAAAACCCATCCCTATTTTTCTATGTGCTTATGTAGTACCCTGTGCTTATCTCTCATTGTATTAATAACACCAAGTACTTATTCAACACTTGCTTAGTGCCATCTACTGTTATGTTTTATTTAATTTATATAACACTCACAAAACCATCTTAACTAGATTCATCTATTATTAAATAAACATTACTTTCTCATCCTCTCCCACTAGGTGCCAAGCTACTTGAAAAAAAAAATTGTTCTTTTAACTGTATCTGCCCAGTGTCTACTAAAGCAGCCAAGACAAAGTTCCATACTTTAATATATTGTACAATATACAGATATAATACTGTATCTGTTGAATAAACATAGGCCAGTTTTAAATCATCTATTCCTTTTTAGAAATACTACCTGATATTAATACTATAAATTGTCCTTTCTTCTTTTAATAAGGCTTTTCTAAAATAACAAAAAAAAAAATCAAGAAAACTGAGTGTGGTCAAATTTTAGAGACTTTATTTCAAAAACTAAGTAAAATCAATAAAGTAACTGTATTCTTCTATTCTGGGTTCAGTCAGAGGACTTTGCTTCTGGTAAAAAAAAAAAGGACAGTATGAGATAGCTATTTCCCACTTCTGGATTTCATGTAAAAATAAAAGGTGAATAGAAGAAAAACCTATAAACTCTATCTACATCAAAATGAGGAGTCAAATATAATCCATTTATTAGAAAAATGTGAGGCTGCCAGCACAAGCTAAGTTAGGAAGTAGTTCCAATATAAGGCAAGGCAAGGAAAGCAAAGAGTGAGGAATCCCAGGGCTCAGATTTCAGAACTAATGAGGGAAACAAATATTTCCTCTAAGTAAGAAACTTGGCCAGGTATGATAGTAGCTTACACCTGAAATCCCAGCATTTTGGAAGACCAATACAAGAGAGTTGCTTGAGGTAAGGATTTTAAGACCAGCCTGGGCAACAGAGAGAGATGCCATCTCTACAAGAAGTAAAAAAAATTAGCCAGGCATGGTGGTGTGTGCCTATTAGTCCAAGCTACTTAGGAGGCCAGGGTGGGAGGATCCCTTGAGCTCAGGAATTTTGAGGCTGCAGTGAGCTATGACTGTACCACTGTACTCCAGCCTGGGCAACAGAGCAAGACCTTGTCTCTAATAAATAAATAAATACATATATAAGAAACTCATCTTGAAGTTACAAAACGGTTTGGGGGAAAAAAAGAGCTAAAAATCTGGTAAAATGAACAGAGATGGGTCATCAGAAAGTTTAGGCAGTTAGGCAAGATGTACCTGCAATAGCAAAATCCCAGCCAAAAAACACATTCCTAAAGGAACTCCCTGTAAATACCCAGGCCAAGATAACCCAGTTTATCCTATGTTGAGTAATAAAAAGGTAAGGAACAGCAGCAAAACTCACCAGATAAAGAATACTTAATAGACAAATGTTGTCATAAAACAGATGAATATTCTAATGAAATATTTTGACTTAAATAATAAAAAATTTATGAAGATATTATCTTTAGAAAAAAAAAAAAAACAGGGCAGAATATAAGAACACAAGATCACGCCTGTAATCCCAGCACTTTGGGAGGCTGAGGCAGGTGGATCACCTGAGGTTGGGAGTTCAAGACCAGCCTGACTAACATGGAGAAACCCCATTTCTACTAAAAATAAAAAAAAAAAAAATTAGCAAGGCATGGTGTTGCATGCCTGTAATCTCAGATACTTGGGAGGCTAAGGCAGGAGAATTGCTTGAACCCAAGAGGCAGAGGTTGCAGTGAGCCAAGATCATGCCACTGTACTCCAGCCTGGGCAACAAGAGCAAAACTCTGTCTCGGGAAAGACAAAAAAACTCAAGGAAAGACGGCAAAAATCAGAAAACAGTAACATATAATTGATTACATGTGAGCTGGTAAAGAAAATTTTTTACTTGAAAAAGAAAGGAAAAAAACAGAAATGAAGATGAAATTTTTAAAGTGTTAAAAAGGAGAAGACAAAAGCACAGGTAAAATAAAATATCTAACATATGTATAATGATACCCAGCAAAGAAACCCCAAACACAGGAACAAAACAAATATTTAATTTTATACTCAAGAAAATGTTCTGAAATAAATGAACTAAAAGTATACATCATGTGCCTGAGAAACTTAACACAAATCAGTCAATACTAAGACAAATATTCTAGAAAAAGACATTGAATTGTAAATATAAAGAAAATCTCAAGAGCAGCTGGGGAAAAAACATTATTTATAAGGGAGAAAAATATCAGGCTATCTTCCAATATAGCTACAACAATACAACAATATTTAAAGTCAGAAGATAATGGTACTCAAGTACCCTTTTTTTTCTATGAGCTATTCTTTATCTGATAAGTTGTGCTGATTTTCTCATGCTTATTATTATTCAAAGTCTAAGGCAAAAATTTCGTAACCACTCTTACTGTCCAAATTTCATAAACACCCTTGCTGTCCTGCAAGTACAGACAACTTTAAACAATCAAGAACTTGGAAAATTGGCCAGGTGCAGTGGTTATTATCTGTAATTCCACCACTCTGGGAGGACAAGGTGGGAGGATAACTTGAGCCCAGGAGTTCTGGGCTACAGTGAAGTACCATCACGCCACTGTAGTCTAGCCTGGGCGACAGAGGGAAACGCTGTCTCTACTTTTAAAAAGCGGGTGTGGGGGGGCAGGCAGAGCGAGGTGGCTCACACCTGCAGTCCCAGCACTTTGGAAGGCCATGTAGGGAGGACTGCCTGAGTCTAGGAGTTCAAGACCAGACTGGACAACAAAGTGAGTTCCTGTCTCTATCAAAACAAATAAAAAACCACTTGGAAAATATTACTCCTAAGAACCTTGATGAGGACAATATTTAGCTAAATAAAAGATAATTACAGCCCAAAAAAACTGGTGGTAAGCAATATTTCATTTTATAACTAAGACTATAAACTAAGACTGAAATGTTACAGCTAAAAAAAACTAGAAGGGTGAGAGAGGAGATGAAAAGAAGTACTTAACTATCTACAGGAGATGAAACAAATAACATTACTTGAAGGTGGCAATTAAATCAAGTAAAGTACATGCAGATTCAGCAATACAAATGTAAACAGTAAGAAAGATACTTTTTCAAAATATTGAGATACAAAGAATGACAGGGTAGAAGAAAGAAAGAAGAAAACCAGCAATTTAATCACTGTTCATTAAAGGGAGTTAACAGATACTTGTTTCAAGTAGTTTCTCAATATTTTTTCCATTATTATCTCCCTAATAAATATTTTTGAATATTTTTTCTAATTATATCCCTAAGATATTTTAATATCAGAGATGTACATATCTGTTTAGGTACTCTATGTATATCTGATTTATATACACACAAGAAAGTAAATAAAAAGCTTATTCTTTTTATTCAATTTAAGGTTATGAATGACTAGATAAAAATTTTAAGTTAAAGGCCGGGCACGGTGGCTCAAGCCTGCAATCCCAGCACTTTGGGAGGCCAAGGCAGGTGGATCACAAGGTCAAGAGATGGAGACCATCCTGGTCAACATGGTGAAACCCCGTCTCTACCAAAAATACAAAAAATTAGCTGGGCATGGTGGCGCGTGCGCATGCCTGTAATCCCAGCTATGCAGAAGTCTGAGGCAGGAGAATTGCCTGAACCCAGGAGGTGGAGGTTGCGGTGAGCCGAGATCACACCATTGCACTCCAGCCTGGGTAACAAGAGCGAAACTCTGTCTCAAAAAAAAAAAAAAAAATTTTTTTTAAGTTAAAAAATCTGAAAATGATTTACATTTAGCTTATCTTTATACCCTGGTTTTCTGAAAAACTTTTAATATAATCCTTAAGTTTAAATAAACTGTAATGTATCAAATTACACAAATAAATTAGCAACTTATATAACTATAAAACAAAAGTAGCAAGTAATCAAATATTTAAACCATTCAAAACTGCTGTTTATTTATCCAGCAAAAGAAAACAATTAAAAATTTCTTAAAAATTATTTCAGTGAACTTTTACCATTTGCTTGATAAAAGAAAGTAAGTTCTGGCTTCTAGATATTCATTAAAATACTGCTGACATTTTTTCTTTTCAGCAACTGACATGATTAAAAATGGGTTGAATAACTTTTGTAGAATGAAGTAATAAGTTGGAGAGGTTTTTTTGGGGGGGCGGGCTTAATTTTCAAAGCCCAAGTCACACATGAATGCACTGAGAACCAAATATAAATAATATTCACAAGGCAGCCAATGGAAGCAACCTCTTGCCACCTGACTCTGAGATCAAGCAACTGATTAAGTCTCCCAATCACAGTCATCTATTCTCCAGTTTCATAAGCCTAATTTTGCATACATTTTGTTTTTTGTTTATTTTTCATGGACTTATTGTCAATGCTGCTCATGTGATACCCAATAAGACCAATGAGAAAAATAAATACTGGGGAATGCCATGTTGTTGGGTAGTGTGGAGCTTTCGAGGACCATAGCTAAGATTTTTCTCATCCTCCACAGAAACCAGTTTTCATTCCCTTGGTGGTAATACTGCCCTGGTTGAGAATGCATGATCTCAAGAAATAGAGGACTAGGGGTATTGCATAACTATAAAGGCAACCATTAGAGCAAAACCAGAAATTTTCCTAAATGTGATAAACACTACATCCCAAAAACAAGGTGAACAGACCAGATAGCATAAGATGAAAACAACCAACACAATTATTTAAAGGGGAGGCAAGAGAGAAAGGGATAACACAACAATAAAATAGAATTCCAGGACATATCTAATATAATAACAAGTATGAGGTTGGATCATAAAGCAAAACTCAACTCTCACGTTGTATATGAGAGGCACACCTAAAATAAAGTGCAAATTAAAGAGCAGGCAAAGGTAATTAAAGTAAGTTCAAATTAAAAAGAAGGCAAAGGTCAAGATCTTAATACCATAAAAGATAAAATTCAGGCCAAAAAATAAAATAGAATAAAGGTTTTAAATGAAATCAAGATGGGTTCTTTTAAATTCCAAAGGAAAAAAACTTTTTTTTTTTTGAGACGGAGTTTCATTCTTGTTACCCAGGCTGGAGTGCAATGGCGCGATCTCGGCTCACCTCAACCTCCGCCTCCTGGGTTCAGGCAATTCTCCTGCCTCAGCCTCCCGAGTAGCTGGGATTACAGGCACACACCACCATGCCCAGCTAATTTTTTGTATTTTTAGTAGAGACGGGGTTTCACCATGTTGACCAGGATATGGTCTCGATCTCTTGACCTCGTGATCCACCCGCCTCGGCCTCCCAAAGTGCTGGGACCACAGGCTTGAGCCACCACACCCGACCGGAAAAAAACTCTTAAGAAGATGGAACAGTTACGAGTATTAGCACACCAAATAAAAGCTAAAGGAGAAACAGACAAACACATTATAGGCTTTAATGTAATTCTACCAAGTAGAATAAAAACAAGGATATGGAGAGACAGAATAATGTAATTAATAAGGTGAATTTATTTGGTATATGTTTAACTCAATTTTCTGAAAATAGAAATACCCCCTTTTAAAGATTTTTTTGTAGAATACCCGTAAAAACTGATTATATTTAGATACACAAATACAGAAATTCACAGTAAAGAAAGGGAGAAACAATATATTTGTACAATCACAATGTAATAAAGCTGAAAATTAACACTAAAAAAAATTTTTTTTTGAGACAGGATCTCACTCTGTCACTCAGGCTAGAGTATAGTAGTCTGTTCATAGCTCACTGCAATCTCAGACTCCTGGGGTCAAAGGAATCCTCCCACTTCAGCCTCCCAAGTAGTTGGGACCACAGGCATGGGCCACCAAGCCTGGCTAATAATTTTTTTTTTTTTAATAGATATAGGGTTTTACTCTGTCACCTAGGCTGGTCTCAAACTCCTGGCCTCAAGCAATCTTCCTTCCTTGGCCACCTAAAGTGTTGGGATTACAAGATGAGCCACTGGAACCAGCCAAAACTTTGAAACAAAAAGGCTAGTCAACTTTTTGGGTTAAAAAGAAAATACAAACTGAATATATCAGAACCAAAGAGATGCCAAAAACAGTGCTTAAAGGAAAATTCAAAACCTTAAATACTTACATGAGCAAAAATAAATGAACTAAATATTTGACTCAAAAAGGAAAAATACAATACATGAATATAATATATAATAAAAATGAAATTCTTCAAAGGTTGTGACATGTAATCATAAAATATCAAGCCAAGACACTTAAACTTTTATTTCTTTTTACTTAGGGACAACTAAAATTTAAAACTGCTCAATGTACATTTATATTCTAAGTTTGTACTAATTTAAATACATACACACACAAACGGAGATTTGGATTTTTGTAAGATATACACAGAATGAGAAATATCAAGACAGTCTATGATTACACTTAAAATATACAAAAACCTCTATACTTTCCCAAAAACTGATTTAATAACTATCAGCAGAAGTTATATTTCATTATGAATACAGAGAATTTTCATGATAAAATACTTACATTCCCAATCTCAAAGTTTTGCCTCATTAGTAGGTAAAGGGAAGCACTGGCGTGTGACCGTATCGTACTGATGCTACTGCTACAGTGTCGGAGAAGCCTGAGGCATAAATCAGCGCACTGCTCTGTCTCTTCTTCAAATAAGAGTTCAGGAAACTGTAAAATACCACCAACAACAAACCACCACTGAATTTTTACAGTAAAAGTTCCTGAAATATGTTAATATAACCTAAACTGGAGATCTGTTAGTATAGCCCAGAAATTAAAAGGAAGGTTAAGACAATATTAGCTAATGGTTAATAGTGTGAGACAGAGTCAGACTGGGTTCCAATGCTGATTACGCCACTTACTAACTAGTAGTGTGACATTGCACAAGTTTTCTCATCCACAAAATAGGCCCCAAGGGATTGTTGTGAAGCTTCTATCAGAATGTGCATAAAACACTTAGTAATCAACATATATAAATTTTATATTTATTATAAAATAATACATAAGTAATTTTCATCAACATCTCTGCATTCCATCTTCTAGGATGATTAAAATGAAATCGCTATCTTCAAAATTTAAGAATATTCATATTTCTGAGGGAAAACAAACATAAGAAGTAAATATTGAAAGCAACTGAACAAACATCTTCTTTTCCATTCATCATAGAATAGTTTCAGTGGGTTCAACTGCTTACATATTGAATGCTATATAAATTGAGTTTTTAAAAAAACAGAACAAAGTGAAGAGAAAACAAGAGAAGCCCCATTTTTAAGACAGGCTATTAATTTCAGGCTCTTCTTCACATCAAAAATACTATTTTTTAAACCAGAACTGGTTAAAGGTGATTCAAATAAATCAAAAATTCCAAAAGGCAGGCAGCAGCAGAAAGGCAAAGAAGAATCAAGGGTCTTAGGTTATTAGTTAAATTGTAACTACACATATTAATTAATATATTACTACATATATTAACCAATGATGTGTAAAATGATTGTGAACAAAGAAAAACGTCTGACAACACTGCAGGTACAAAATAACCTACCTTTGAAACCAAGGCTCTCTGTGTAGCAAAACAGTGTTGTAGATAAACTGCACTTTGGTTACAGGCCATGCTGTGTAGTAGCACTTTTAGCACTCCACCAAGAATGCTCTCTTTGGATTCTGTTACAGAAACGGTCTACAATTTAAAAATAAACAAATAAAATAGAGATGTACCTGCAATTTAGTTGGGGAAGTAGAATATGTAAAGTTTTAAAAGATTAAAAAATGACTATATAAGATCTAGGATGGCTTCAAGAGGGAGCTGAGAAGGATTTGAATAAGAAAAGGAGAAAAAAATAAATATAATTTAAGTGAGAAAAAAGGAGCAAGATACAATGGCAGGAAATCATAAGGTGTGTTTTAGGAAAATTAGTAAGTAAATTTGAATTGACTTGAGGTTCAGTAGAAAATAACTAGAGATAAGGCTAAAAAATGCAATGGTGCCTATAGCAAAGAATATTGGCAGTAAACAAATAACTATTCTTTGAAATACTGAATTTTAGCTGGAGACTTTGAATCCAGCGACAGAGAGAGGTAAACAAAAGAGAGGTTTCATTTTCTGAGTCATGCCCTTAAAAGAAGAAACTACTCTGTTGTTGCTGTTTCTTTTCACAGTGAAATATAGACCTGATGATGGCTGCGGCTCAGGCAACCATCTTGGATTAAGTATCTTGGACTTACCATTTCTTTTGATTCTCTTTGTAGTAATAGCTGAGACCTACTCCAGCTCTCCAGCTAATAAACACCAAATTATAAAGAGCGTTCTAACTCTGAAGTTTCCCAACTTTTTCTTCAGGCAATGTAAAATATTAAATTTTTGGTATTTTTAAAACTTTAGTCAGGATAATGAATGATAAAATCTTTTTTTTCTTGAGCTGGAGGCTCGCTCTGCCATCCAGGCTGAAGTGCAGTGGTGTGATCTCCACTCACTGCAACCTCCGCTTCCTAGCTTCAAGCATTTCTTGTGCCTCAGCCTCCTGAGTAGCTGGGATTACAGGTGCACACCACCACACCTGGCTAATTTTTGTATTTTTAATAGAATCAGGATTTTGCCCTGTTGTCCAGACTGGTCTTGAACTCCTGACTTCAAGTGATCCGCCCACCTCAGTTTCCCAAAGTGCTGGGATTACAGGCATAAGTTACCATGCCCAGCCATAAAATATTTTTAAAAGAAAAGTCTTACTAAAATGTACAGAATGGATGGTAGGAAGAACACAGAGTAACTATCATGAAGCAGACGGCCATTGTAGTGGTAGCAGAAAAGAAATGAAAGGAATAGGTGACAAACATATCCACTAAAACATCTGAGAGATATTGCCAACTGATTTGAATACTGGCTCTTCTACATACTAGTTGTGTCATTATGGGCAGTTATTTAACATCTTTGTGCCTAAGTGTTCTCATCTACAAGATGAGGTTACTGACAGTTTCAATGGCATGAGTTTCTTAGAAGGATCAAATGAGTTAATATTTGTAAAGTGCTTAGGACAATGTTTAACACAGAAAAAAACTAAATAAATGTTGGATATCACATTGTTACTAACAGAATAATACCACCTAGAGGGCTTCTGTTAGGACTCAACAAGATGATTATAGATAAAGAGCCTGAAACACTGCTGTAGGATACAGAAGATACTGCATAAACCCTGTGTATGTATATGTAGCTACAGCTATACAGGCATGTTGAATCTCACATGATGGCAGAACACCCAACTATAAATACTCAGAGGATATTTGGAAATGTAAAACTAGGCCACAAAGGGGAATGACAAGGAGATAAAGATTTCATAATTCTCCTCCATGAAGAAATGGTTGAAGCAATGGGAATTTATAATTACAGAGAATCTCAGCATGTTTGGAATGAAACTTTTAGGAACTACTAATATTTAAATGTAATTACATAAAATGTAATTTTATGGCTCACAGTAAAAACTTTTCCCCCAACCTCAATTTACCAAATCTGTATTTTAAATTTCTCTTCTTTGCGTTCTTACCTGAACAACAATCTCTAATGTATCCAAAATGATTAGGTTTGCTTCTGTAGCCAGGTTTCCATCAATCAGTGCTTCATGTTCAATCTCTGCTCTTGATCTAATACAAAACATTGTAAGAAATTATACTTACCTTTTTAAAAGCCACAATTCTTAAAATATTTAAGGATGCATAAAAATAAAAAATTTGAAACAATTTTCAATATTTGCCTGATAAACAATTACAAGAGAATAAAAAGAAAGGCAATAGTTTACACCTTTACTCTGTCTTTTGTTAACTATGACAATACACATTTTCTCATCCCATTATGGAAGCATAATGCCACTAAAAGCATTAAATGTTTATGTTTTAGCTTTCAAACACGCAGAAGACACAGTTTTATTCTAAGTGACACTGACACTAGGTGGTGCTATGTGGGCTTGTATTTAGGATGCTTCACAGAAAACAACATTCAAATATTTAGTATTCATCTTACTATTTCAAAGATTTCCAATGTTTGTATTCAGGATAAATGTACTTAGTTTGTCTAAGGTTTCATCTAACTTTCCTCAAAATTTTTAATATAAATATGCTCAGATGGTAATTTAACTCTTCAATAAAACTAGATGGAATCACTCATTGGAAAGAAAACAATTTGGGGGGAAAAAGGATGTGAGGTGATGAATATGCTAGTTAGCCTGACTGGTAATCATTTCACAATTTACACATATATTAAAAGATCATGTTATATTCTGTAAATATACACAAATTTTGTCAATTATAACTCAATAAAGCTAGAAAAATAAGAAAAAAAAAGTATGATGCAATAAAGTGGTTTGCTTAAATACTAATATTTTTATAAGTATCATTTAATGCAAATAAAAATTTAAGCATAAACATTTATGCTTTTAATGGCATTATGCTTCTGTAATGGGATGAGAAGTGTGTATTGCCATGGTTAACAAAAGGCAGGGTAAATGTGTGAACTATTGCCTTTTTTCCTATTCTCTATTAATTACACATTATTTATGAATATAGCTGACATTTTTGCTTTAGCAACAATAGATATACAGACACTATATATTATACCAAAGTAGACAAAATAACACATAAAGTACAAGACATATTAAATGCTAACTTTTCTAAGTTTGTAGATCTGTGAGTCTGTGAATCTTTATTATTACCACTAAAGAGAATACTTCATGAATTTACATTTTACAAATTCAGTTTAAGAATAAAAGCACTTAGAGAGGCTGAGGCTGGGGATCACTCGAGCCCAGGAGTTAAAGACCAGCCTGCGTAATACAGCAAAACTCTGTCTCTACAAAAAATACAAACATTATCTGGGTGTGGTGGTGCACAGCTTTAATCCCAGCTACTTGGGAGGCTGAGGTGGGAGGCTCACCTAAACCTGGGAGGTCAAGGCTGCAGTGAGTCATGACTGGGCCACTACACTTCAGCCTGGGTGACAGAGTGAGACCTTGTCTCAAAAATATAAATAATAAAACATAGTTATCAAAATTAAACTGGAAAGTAAAATATTTAATGTTCAAACTTAAATTTTCCAGTGAGATATTATAAAGAAACATAACAAGATGATTTAAACAAAAAGAATCAGGAGAACACCAAAAAAGTCTCCCTCAAAACACAGTAGGTTAAGCCAAGAGAACATGTTCTATAAATGCAGAAATAAAGTAATATACTAATAGTATACTACCTGGCTGCTCTGTGATTTCTAAAAAATAACAACTGTAGAAAAGCCATCAGAGAACACATTCAAAGGTTAAGAATTTTAATATATTTATATTACATTCAGTATCTGATTATTTCAAGCTCTCATACATATGCTACTGAAACTTGTTTCTCTCTGCTGGCTCTCACTTGTTTCCTCTGTTTTAAGCTACTGAGGGCTAACTTATTAATTCTCAAGTGAAAAATTTTAGTACCCTGACTCAATGCCAAATCTCAAGCCAGGCAAGTTCACCTGCAGCCACTTGGGCAGTGAGAAGACTCATGTAAGTGCATTCTAGGTGTTTATGGCAGTAGGGTCAGTCAACGTACCTAGTCTGCCTTTATGACAGAAACAGAAGACCTGCATTGTTTTGTCTTATTTCAATTATATGCTCCAAGAGGATAAATATTAGGTTTCTAATTCTTTGAGATATTTAAAATACTAGTTCAATGTGACACCTAAAATATGTTCGAAATATAGTTGCTGAATGCATTTTCCAAGAGGCTGTGTTGGAGAGAATGGAGTTTAAAATATAACATTTTGCCTTACTATACCACGACAAGTTCTTCCTCCAAATCTTTTTTAAATCTAAAATTTTTAAATTTAAATATTTTGTCCTCTAAGGCTTAATATATTTATTAAATGTAAATACTAAATATAAATATAAAGTAAAAGTAATCATTTTCCTCTTGCATTTAAAATTCAACAAGCCCATAAATAACATAAAATAGAGAGCTCTCTATTACTTGTCAAGCTTCTCTGTGTTTTGACGCCAGTGAGTCATATCTTTTCTCCACCTCAAATTTTCTTGACTTCCAAACGCACTTCCAGATGGGCTTCTCTCTGCCAAATAAATTTCAAAAGTTATTTCAGTTGGATCACATATATGTATACTTGCAAACACATAAGGAATATCATATAATAATTTGTACATAGCCATTTTATCCACAGTACAGGTGGAAAAACCTGACAACAGTGCTTTTTATTAAAAATTTTCACAATAATTTCATAAGAAATGTATTTGGTATATGAATTTTTTTAAATACCCCTTTAAATGCGTATTGTTTATTTAAACAAATGTTCTAACACTGATTTCCTTAAAATTTTAACCATGGTTTATAAGGCTTTACATAATATGACTTTGTTTCCTACCACTCTTCTTGCTTACCGCTTTCTGTTATCTTTGCAAATCTATCAGTATATAGTCTGACTATGTATGCTTCTGACTTACAACCTGTGCAATGGTTGTAAGTTTTTTCCTTTTTCCTAACTGTTCTTCTCATAAATTTTCATTTATTGCCTCCTTAGAAAGGCTTCCCACTCTCCTTTCCTTTTACTTTGCTCTGTTCCTTTCCACTTAGGACCACAACTATATAAGCTTTGCTCTGTTCCTTTCCACTTAGGACCACAACTATATAAGCTCCTTAAGAACAGAAATATGTACTTTGTCCAGCATGTTTTATCCAGGATAATAAAGTGGTGCATACTGAGAGCTCAGTAAGTTTCTGTTAATTACGTAAACAAAATAGGAAGGATTCCTAACTACTTCTTTCAGTCTACATAAGGTAGAACAAGAGGAAGAATGGAGTTTTCTCTTAAGAGGTTTCTAGGTTTGAAGGCAGACTGCATGTATGGATTCCTTTAAGGAGTGGAAGCAATATAAATGTTTCATACAATCCATTAGAAGTGGAAAGAGCATTGAGAATTAGCGAATATACAAATATACATTTAAACAATGGACTCAGTCATGATTTCAACTTTCAGCTACAAAACTAAATGCTTGTTTTTGAAAAACATAAGACTTTAAATTGGTTGGGAGAATGGAAGAATAATACAAGTAAAAGTTTAGAGTTCAAATAGAAATTTTAAAAATACTGAAAAAATACAACTATATATAGGTCAATTGAAGAAATACAAAAATGCTGAGAAATAAGAATAATTTCCTGTACAATAAAGGACATGTCTGTATTTCTTCTAATTTCTTTCCCTTTCCTTTCCTTTCCTTTCCTTTCTTTCGTTCTCTTTCCCTTTTTAAAATTTTGAAATCCGTGTCTGCCATGTGTGTACCTATGCAACTATCTTGCACATTCTGCACATGTACCCCAAAACCTAAAATGTAATTTAAAAAAAAAAAGAGAGAGAGCAAAGAAAGAAAGATAACTGAAAATAATGGGACTTGTACTATGGTGCTAATGAACTCCTTATGGATTCCTTATTAAACAATTAATTTTGGAAAAAAAAAAGAAAAGAAATTTGTGAAAAAAAAAACAAAAAGATATGCCTATATCAAGATAGTTAGCAAAATTAAGATCTATTTACATTTCTATCATTTACATTTTTTTCCCACAAAACTTGTCTCTCATTAGTTAATAATGTCTTAGAACTAAAAGTTAAGAAAAAGAAAATAATGTCTTTAGACCTAATAAACCAATGTCTATTATTGACCTGGCTTAAATGTAGCAATGTAAATAAGACTTAAAAAGGCTTAGGTTTTCTAAGACAAGAAGACTTCAATTCTTATATTCAAACAATAATAGATTTCCTGGGGCCATAGATTTAAAAATATAGCAAGTATATTGTTAATAGCTCCATTCTTGCCAAAAATAAACCTCAGGGCTATGGTATAATAGAAGGAATGCTAAATTAGAAACCCAAAGATCCTGGTTCTGTCACTTAGTTTATAATCTTAGGCAAAGTTATTTACTTCTTTGTGTTTTATTTTCTTAATCTAAAAGATGACTGTAATTATTCATTAGGTTTTGGTAGTAATTAAATGATCTCGGTAAAATTTAACTTTCATACTTTTTCAGAGAATTCCTATACATAATAAATGAATTAAAAGAAAAACCAAAAGTACACTGTAAATTGTATATAACTGAAGAGAAAAAATGGTGCTCTATTATTTTTTTTTAAGTCAAAGACTTTGTTTTGTGGTAACTTTGTTACTATAAAACACATAGTATATAAATGATACTTAAATAGATTATCATTATGCTTATGGCCTGTCAGAAAAAAATTAAAAATCCATTCACACTTACATTTGCATTTTAAGTCAACAAACACATATTTGTGATTATGCTGTTGGCATGTACCACGTACACATATGACCAACCCATGGCCCTGGCCTTAAGAAACTCTTAGCAACAATATTGTCTGTATGTCACTTTAGAATTTGCAAAACGTTGGCTGGGCGCAGTGGCTCACGCCTGTAATCCCAGCACTTTGGGAGGCCGATGCGGGTGGATCACGAGGTCAAGAGATCGAGACCATCCTGGTCAAAATGCTAAAACCCCATCTCTACTAAAAATACAAAAAATTAGCTGGGCATGGTGGCACGTGCCTGTAGTCCCAGCTACTCAAGACGCTGAGGGAGGAGAATTGCCTGAACCCAGGAGGCGGAGGTTAAGGTGAGCCGAGATCACGCCATTGCACTCCAGCCTGGGTAACGAGAGCAAAACTCCGTCTCAAAAAAAAAAAAGAATTTGCAAAATGTTTCTGCATACATGGTTGCTATAAAAATAATACAATCAGTTACAGTAGGTTCTAAATTCTGAAAACAATCACAAATTTGTAAGGAAAAGGAAGGTAGGGAGATTAAGTGACTTGGCCAAGGTTATACGGCTAATGAGTAGCAGACCTGGGATTAGAAAACCAGTCTCAAATGCTACTAAACTGTTTTGTCTCACTGATATTTGAGTTTGACGGGCAATATTTTGCCTTATATACAGGGCATATTAATTCATTTTGCAAATGAAGAGTAAAAAGGGGCCAGTTGTGGTGGCCCACACCTGTAATCCCAGCACCATGAGAGACCAAGGTGGGAGGATTACATGCACTCAGGAATTCGAGACTAACCTGGGTAACATAGTGAGACCCTGTTTCTAAAACAAACAAACAAACAAAAAATTAGTTGGGCATGGTGGCACATATCCGTAGTCCCAGCTACTAGGATAGGTGTGTACTGGTGGGTGAGGGTGTGAGAATTGCTTAGGTGAGGGAGATCAAGGCTACAGTAAGCCACGATCACACCACTGCACTCCAGCTTGGGTGACAGAGCAAGAATCTGTCTCACAAAAAAAAACAAGTAAAAGAGATGTCATACAGAATGAGCCCTAATGTAAACTATGGACTCTGGGTGACGATGTGTTAATGTAGGTTCACCAGTTACAACAAATGTGCCACTCTGATAAGGGATGTTAATAATGGGGGAGACTATGCATATGTAGGGATAAGGGGCATATGGGAAATCTCTGTACTTTTCCTCAGTTTTGCTGTGAACTTAAAACTGCTCCACAAAAATGTAGTCTATTGAAAAAAGGGAGGATGGATGCTATTAATAATAACAAAAGGGCAACAGGCTAAACTGAGACTATCTAGAGAAAACTGGGAAGTATGTTGACTCCTCTTAAATCAGAATTCTAACTTGTATTATTGTAGAGAAATGATTATTCAAGTTAATTCAGTTAAACTTAAAACAATCTTTAAAAAGCATAAGATTGACATTGAAGACTAACAACAACGATCATTCCAATATAGAACTCAAGGAAATTGAAAAAATTCTCACCAGAAGGAGAAGCTATTGTGTACGTACCAAGCTGTCCTCGGCTTCGACGCACCATTTCTTGCCTAGCACCTATGCTCCCAAGAATAGCTTCTTCAAGCTTTGCTCTCATGTCTTTTGATTTCTTAAAGGTCAAGCTGTTCATTCTTTCAAACACTTTTTTCCCCTAAAATTTAAACATTAGAAGAGAAGTGGCATTGAAGACATTTTCTTCTATTTTTCCCACATTGTTTCCTTTCTTGTTCTTTGCACTTACTTTATACTCAAAGCAAGATACACAGAGATAAAGCAGATCTAATAGCCGGTTTAGCTGCAAGACCGAGAGATCTGTAAACCACTTCTGTAGAACTGTTTCATCTGCATTTTTGAGAACCCAAAGTAGACAGATCAAAAGGCTTCGACTTGATTCTGCTGAAAAGGTAGTGTGTTGTCTGCCACTCTGAAAATAAAGAGCAGTAGAATGAGACACATTGATCAAAGACCATTTCTTGTTTTTTGGCTATCAACTCTTTTCTTCTAAAAACAATAAAAGTTGTTTAAAAATAATATATTTAAAAAGAACCATTTGATTTAGACAACATTTCTATAAAACGATCATATACAACCTTAAGGTTAAGAGCCTGAAGTTTAATGAACCTTTCCTGCTAACAGAGGTTTGCTTTAATTTCTTGCATGACTGCCAGCAAAGAATAAATAAATGTTAATAGAAAACGTAAAGAGAAAAACTAAAAGATTCTACCATTAAAAATTAAAGATATATATCATAGAATATCAGATATGATGAAAAAGGAAAAAAGCAACTGACTCACAGTAAATAAGAGTGAGCTAAGAATAGAAAGTAATGACAAAATAAGTATATTAGGCTTAGAAGACTATTGTTTCTAATCAATCACCACTGATAGGCTGGGCACGGTGGCCTCATGCCTATAATCCCAGCACTTTGGGAGGCCAAGGTGGGTGGATCACGAGGTCAACAAATTGAGACCATCCTGGTCAACATGGTGAAACCCCATCTCTACTAAAAATACAAAAAATTAGCTGGGCATGGTGGTGCGTGCCTGTAGTCCCAGCTACTCGGGAGGCTGAGGCAGGAGAATTGCCTGAACCCAGGAGACGGAGGTTGCAGTGAGCCGAAATCGTGCCATTGCACTCCAGCTTGGGTAACAAGAGCGAAACTCTGTCTCAAAAAAAAAAAAAAATCACCACTGATACAAAGGGGAAAAGACTTAGGCCATATAGAAGTAAAAAGCTACTTTTACTTATAGCATTTAAAGTTGAAATGCTATTTTCAATCATCAATCTATATTAGTATATCGTATATACAACAGAAATGAAAAACTAAATAAAAATGTATTTACAGTACCATTTATTGGACATATACTCTGTTCCAGTCATCATACTAAGCACTTGACATACATTATTTGATTTAGTCCTCCAACAGGATTACCAAGCAGACTGTATCATCCCAATTTTACAGATAAGAATACAAATGACAATAACGATGACAAAAATAAAATTTGAAATGTGCAAGAAACTATGTTAATCATATTTTATTTAACTCTCACAACAATTATAAACTATAATATTAAATATTATTATTTCTAGTACACAGGTAAGAAAACTGAAGGCTAGAGATTAATTTGCCTTAAATCATATACTGTACTAAGAAAGGATAAAGCTAAGATTTTAGTCCAGGTTAACCACACTCCAAAGCCTTTACTCTTCACTATTATACTATGTTCTAATATTCAGTTGACTAATATACTAACTAAAAATGAGGAAAAAGTAGAGGGAATGTTGAAAAGAAAGCTGAACATACACAACTGTTGAAGTCATGATCTCACCTACCTTACCAATGTTCCTTCTATACTGGATGATGATTAATGACCAAATGCTTTATGTATATTAACTCATTTATCCTTCACAATCACTCAAATAAGTATTATTACTCACTCCATCTTACAGAAAAAAGAAAAAACTTGAGCAACCAGAAGTATTTTATAATAAGTGGCAGGACAAGAATTTCAACACAGAAAGCATAGCTCCAGAGACACAAGCTCCAGTTCATATCCACTTTTGTTTACTGCCTCTCATGGCTGCCCATGCATATAAGCAAATTCACCCACATAAGCTTGGTTAACTACTTTGCTATACTGTTTTTGAGCTGGGCACAAAAGAACTTTGATCTAAATCCCTGAATCCACAATCACTGTCATAAGGAAAATGCTTGGTTATTTTAAAAACAGACACTTTTTATATCTGAACTTTTAGGTATGCATAAATACAAAGCACTGACTGAATTTTCAAGTACCTATTTTTTAGAAATACAATTAAAAAATTATTCTCAACTTGACAAACAGGCACACACACTGACATCTCTTTATTCCCACATAAACTGCCAATAACACAGTGGCACATTTTGGAAAAAGACATATATGAAAAAGAGTAAGGTAGAGATGTCAGTTTTCCCTCAAATTGTTCTATGGGATCAATGCAATTATTATTATTTTTTTTTTCTTTTGAGACAGAGTTTCGCTCTTGTTACCAAGGCTGGAATGCAGTGGCGCAATCTTGGCTCACCGCAACCTCCGCCTCCTGGGTTCAGGCAATTCTCCTGCCTCAGCCTCCTGAGTAGCTGGGATCAATGCAATTCTAACCAAAATCCCAGTCGGGTTTTCCTAAAACTTTGACTAATGATTTTTAAAATTTAATGGGGGAAAAGCAGAAAGGCAAGAAGAGCCAAGATATTCTTGAAGAAGAACAAGGTGGGATGTTGGGGGAAGGGAGATGAATGTGTTCTACCAGATATCTGCACTTACTAAAAAACTAAAATAATTAAGAAAATTTGATTTTGGCATATGGATAGTCTAATGAAATAGAATAAAGAACACAATAAATGTCCTATGCAAATTTGAAAATCTGATCTGTGACAAAGCTGACACTGCAGATCACTACTGAAAGGATGGACTGTTTAATAAATGATGTTGAGACAATTGATCTTCCTGGAGGAAAAAAAAAGCAGATTCCTACCTTGTACCATTATGCAGAAAATAAATCTAGACAAAGAAAGAACTTTAAATGCAAAACGCAAAAAGTTTAAAACTTTTAGGAGGAAATATAAGACAATATATTTATGATCTTGGGATTAACCTCATTAAATTATTTTTCCCAGTTTGTGTCCACCACCTGAATAGCCTTCAGAAGCCTTCATTCATGCCTTAGACACTAATCACCACACATACAGCTCTTTATATTCTCTCTTCTTACTTCACTTGCCATGTCTGCTCCATCTCCTAAAATTCTTCCACTATGACCTCTGAAACACAAGGTCAATCAACAAAACTGCCTTATATCTATAAGAACATATAGCTTTCGTTCTTATACATCTATACATCCATTAGAACATAAGCTATATGTTCTCATATCCCAGTAGTCTGAAGGCAGAGAGTAATCTTGAAGCTGTGGCTATTGTGATATGGAGGGAGAGGTATGAATCTTGGCCTAGAAAATGTAGAATTCTGGAACCTCTTCCTCATTCCTGGTAATAGTGTTATGAAACAATTCTTTCTGTTTTCTAGAGGTCATCCCTTCTCAACCAGAAAATTAAGAACTAGTGACCTAGGGCATTTATTGTAGGTGATAAATTAACTTCTATATAAGAACATATAGCTAATGTTCTTATAGATGTATAATAACATACGTATCTTTTTCAGACTATACCACCTACTAACCTTCATCACTGCAGCCATACACTAATCCCCAGAAGACTGGCCCTTATATCTTGATGCTTTTAGCTCCTGACTCACTTTCAGTATTTTAAACACTACTTTTTGTCACAATCTTTAGTGATTTCAATGCCTGTGTATTTGATTCTCTAAATATCCTGTTTTATTTTTTCCTTCCTTAACCAACTCTTCTCATTCTCGAGAATACCACTTACTACACACATGCACTCTTGCAGTTAAACCTTATGTCTTTTACTATTATGGCATGTTCCCCTAAATCTCCAATTTAGGCATGTCCCGCCACACCGAAAGAAAAGGAAGGAAGGAAGGAAGGGAGGAAGGGAGGGAGGGAGGGAGGGAAAGAAAGAAAGAAAAAACCTCCATTTTAACGATCCTTCTTCACAACCACCACTTAAACTTTCCATCACATTACTTCTTATACATCAACTCCAGCAACACACACAATATCAAGTGTTAGAAAGAACATGGAGCAACATTTATTTCCGCATGCTGGAGGGAATATATATTGCTAGAACCATGGTGGACAACAATTTAGACAAGTAAAACTGAACATGTGCATAACCTCTAACCCAAAAATGCCACCCTTAGGAATATATATCTTAGTGAAATTCTTCTATAGAGTGAAATAAAAAAACATTCAAAATACCTTTATCTGTAATAGCCCGAAACCACAAACAACCCAAATTTCCTTTGAGAAGAGAATGAATACATAATTATATTTTCTAATAGACTGCTACAGCATTACAGACTATTGCTACACATATCAACATAAATGACTCTTACAAACATACACAAAAAATCAAGTCATAGAAGTACTATGAAGTACAGGTGAAAATCTGTGAAGCTAAACAAAATATTGTTTAGAAATATACACAAAACTGACTGGGCATGGTGGCTCTCACACCTGCAATCCCAGCATTTTGGGAAGCTGAGTCCGGTAGGTCACTTGAGGCCAGGAGTTTGAGATCAGCCTGGCCAACATGGTGTAATCTGTCTCTACTAAAAATACAAAAAATTTAGCTGGGCACGGTGGCAGCTGCCAGTAATCCCAGCTACTCAGAAGGCTGAGGTGGGAGAATCACTGGAGCCTGGGAGGTGGAGGTTGCAGTGAGCTGAGATTGAGCCACTGCACTCCAGCCTAGGCAATAGAGCAAGACTCTTTCTCAAAAAAACAAACAAACAACCCAACGAGAAGTCAATAAATGAGAGGAAACAAAAAAAGCATAATAAAGACAATATAAAATGAAACACAAAATATTAAACACATCAAATTTAATTAAACTAAATGTAAATGAATTAGAAACTCTAGTGAAAGGGAAGATTAAAAAACCAGATTTTTAAGATACAAGAAAAAAAATCTAACTATATGCTGTTTATAAAAGAAATATGTAAGACATAATACAAAAATGTTGAAAGTAAAAGGATGAAAAAAAGTCATGCTATATGCATACACACACACGGCAAAGAAAACCTAACGTAGTTACAACTAATTTTAAAAAGCATCATAGTTCATGTTGATGAAAGTGCAATCCACCAAAAATTATATAAAAGTGTTAAATGTTTCATAATCAGGCCTCAAAAGAAACAAAATTCTGACAATGACAAGGAGAAATCATAAAACTGCAATTTTAGTGGAATATTAGAATAAGCACACGAAACTGAGTAAAGCCCAAAAAGATTTAAACAGTAAGAA